CCCTCCCACCCCGCCCCAAGGTTAAATCTTGGCCGAGTCTCCGGTGAGGAGAGTCTGAATAAACGCGCGTCCAGAGGGACTGTGACTAAGAACCAGTCCACAGTCTGAGTGTGTGGAGGAGCGCGTTCCGTTCCGTGGGGATTAGGCCCACAGGGAGGAACCCCAGGCCGCCCGCGAGCGTGCTCCGATTACTCTCGGCCTGACTGCCGCGCACCGGCTCCAGAAGCACGCTTTCCCAGTCGCAGTCCTCCATGACTTTCGGCACTAGCAGGGTAGGTCGGGGGACGTCAGCGGACTCGCGCTCAGCCCGCGCCGATTCTCCTCTGCTGGGCCGACCACCAATGGGAGAAGAGTCCAATTCCAGGCATCCGCGGCGATTGGCTCCGGGCCCGGGGGCGGTGGCGGCGGGGGGCGGACCCGGGGGCGGGTCTCGCTTTGGGGCTCCGGTGCCAACATGTGAGGCGTCCGCAGCCGCGGAGGACTGGAGTGCTGCCCGCGGAGGCCGCGGTTCGGCGAGCGCGACCTGGCTCCACCGCGAAGGGCGAGGGGCGCCGCTGGCGGGTCCAGGTGCCCGCGCCGGGGCAGCGCTCGAGCATCGCCGCGGCGGGCGTCGGAAAGGGAACAGCTAGGGGCCGGGCCGCGTCCCCGCCCTCCGCACCGCGAATGGATGTGCCCGGCCCGGTGTCCCGACGGGCGGCGGCGGCCACCGCGCTCCTGCGTACGGCCCGCGTGCCCCGCGAGTGCTGGTTCTTGCCTACCGCGCTGCTGTGCGCCTACGGCTTCTTTGCCAGCCTCAGGCCGTCCGAGCCCTTCCTGACCCCTTACCTGCTGGGGCCGGACAAGAACCTAACGGAGAGGGAGGTAGGCGCGGCGGCGGGCTGGGGGCCGGCGCTCGGGAGGCGGCTCAGGAAAAGAGCGAGTGGAACGGCTCTCGCTCCCCGGAGGCTTTCTGGGCAGGGGTTTCTTGCCCTTCCGCAGCTGGCAGGAGGCTCGGGGCCGGCGCTGCGCTACTCCATGCCGTTTTTCTGGCGTCGGTTGGATTTGTGGGGCATGGCTCGTGTCGGGGTGGGGAGCCCCAGCACACGTGTGCTGCCGGCGGCGTGCTCCTCACGCTGCTCTGTGGTTCAGCTCCTCTCCGCTCAGATTGGTCCAGCAGTTCCTGCTGGGGGCGGGAGGGGGCGCTGCGGGGTACTCGGATAAAAAAGTGGAAACCGCCAGTTGTACTTTGGACAAAGGTTTAGTAAATGATGAAAGTAGGGAAACATGGGGTGCCTGGGTGGCTCCGTCGGAAAGCCTCAGACTCTTGATTTCGGCTGCGATCACGATCTCGTGTTTGCGGGATCAGCCCCGTGCGGGGGCTCTGCCCTGACGGCGGGGTCTGCTAGGGATTCTCCGTCTCTGCCCCTCCCCTGCTCACGTGGCGCGCGCGCTCTCAAACTTTGTTTTTAAAAAAGAAGAAAGCAGAGAACCAGGTGCGGAGTAACCCCTGCTTTCGGAATGGATCTTCCCTCTCCCAGCCGCACCCTCCTCCTTCCCATACCTTACTTTGTTTACCTTTGACTGGATGGATGTGCTCAAATAAGGGCAGGACAGCAAACAAAAATCCATCACCTTAATTTGTTTTGACTTTTAATTAGCTGAGGCTTTTTGGATGTGCTCGAATAAGGGCAGAACGACAAACAACTATCCGTCCCCTTAATTTGTTTTGATTTTTATTTAGGTGAGACGTTGTCCAGGGACATGCTGCCCCCCAGCCCCCAAATCCTACCTCCTGGGATAAAAGCAGATACTGAGATGGAATCACATAATTGGCATTTAATTACAGTTTGTCTTGCATGGTGAATTGTTGGTTCACAGCTGTTAGTTTTGCTTTTCAACCACAAGCCTGAAAGCTGAAGCCTGGTATTCTTTTCTAGAACACTACAAAGGGTGAAAGATGAGTGAGCATTTATTAGTAACTATTTATTATTTTTCCTATGCCTACTTTTCCTTCCTTCCCCTCCCTGCCCTAGTTGCTGTGAAATACTTCTTCCATTTAAAGTTTACTCTTCTTCCTGTGGTTAGTAATCACCTCTTTTGAGTAGCAACTCACCGTCCCTGCATAACAGGCCAGAGCAGGATATAATTATTCACAGTCCAGTTTGTTGTTGGCTTTGCCTTTCCGTTTTCAAGGACGCTTAGCAGGGAATTGAAAGTAGGTGTTGGATCCTGGATTGAGGGTTTCATTTGAATTTCTCATATTGTCTTACCTTCAGCAAGTATCACTGACTTTTACCCAACTTCACCTCTTCTGTTTCTCAGTCTTTTGGACCACTCCACGAAGGACTGTGACAGCTATTCATTCCCTATTTGAATTTTAACATCGTTAACATTTTAACATTGTGAACAGAATAATTTTACAAGGAGAAAATGACCGCAGTAAATGAGAGAGAATGATTCTGGAGACCCAGAACTACTACTGACTCTGAAGCAGAAATGATACTTCCTGAGCTGCGAATAATGAAAATTTCATGTGAACTGCCATGTGATCTGCACAGTCTGTTCACCTTGCTGGACTGAGGGCCACATGGGGAGAAGAAACATGCTCTCTGTGTTGATATTTGAAAGCTGATCTGTTTTGTCATATGACCTGGGCCGAGAGTTATGTCATGTGTCATCATGTGCCCTGTCTACTCAGAGCCTTCTGGGGTGAGAGAATATGTTCACTGGCATTGGGGCCGGACAGGGGTGCTAGGGCCCGTAAATGTTTGCTGATTATGTAACAAACACCTAGCACATTCCTGTGCCTGCAAATTGGAGGAGGAGGAGGGCAGAGTTTGAAGAGAAATCTGGTGGTCTAGAAAGGAGTGTCATTTGTTCGTGAGTACCTTGGACCTGGGCTGATTCTGTTGTTGGTGCACAGTATGGCTCCGGTCACCCTCTCCAGAACCCTGGGTTTTTGGAATATCTAAGAACTGAAATAAATAGACAACTTGTTCTCCTTCCTGACTTAATGCTTGCTTTCACCAGTGGGCAGTTAAATGAAAAATGTTATATGACTTTTAGGCACAGCGAATGTCAGGTCATGGTCAGTGATGTTCTGAAGTTTGTATTTACCCCTAGAAGACTTCAGAAGGGCCAACTTAGATCATCTTAAATGGAGCTATGGTTAACCAAGTCCAAAAGCAAAAGAAGGAGAAGGACAGAATTTCCTCTATCTTTGCATGCTTGAAGGATTTTCCTCTTAGATTTCAGGAAAAATGTTAACCCGTTTTAGGTACCACTTTATAAGTTTTAAACAGGTTAAAAATGGACTCTGTTCTAATAGTTGAAAGCCAGTCTTTTAATAAAATAGAGTTCCATGTCACCAACACTTTTTTATTCTTTCATCTTTTTTAGCATATGATTCGACATTCACCACCTTTCTTTGATTTTTTTTTTTCTTTTTTAACATTCTACCTATTCTGTCTGGTATTCAGAGTCTTACAGAATTTGGCTCTTACCTCCTTGACAGCCTTAGCCTCTGCTACGTCTTTCTTCTTGCCTTCTTCCATGTGCCCAAGCTCTGTCCACATTAATCTTCTAGTCCAAAATCCAGTATATCCAGTTTCTCGTCTACTAGCCTGTGCTCAAAGTTGTGATATCTCTGCTTGGAATAAGCTTCCCATACCTACCTGCTGATCTCTTTCTGTTAGCCTCTACCTTTCTTCTCCTTCAAGGTCTGTATTTCCTAGCTCTCTTATAATGACGTATGAATATATATCCTAATTAGGTTCAGAAGTTTTATTTTATTTTTTTTTTATTTTTTATTTTATATCCATACAGCTTGAAGTGTTGTGTAAAGAAGAGCTTATTAGCTACTTGTTTACTTGGAACTTGATTCTAAAATAAAGTCTAAATCGAATTAGAGCTTAAGATGAACATCTGTTCTCTCTTAACTTTCTGTATCTCAAAGAAAACGCAAGCAAACTGATCCAAAGACTGGGGGCAGGCATCTGACGATAAAAATCAGTTCCCTTTGCTCACATGGCAGATTTTACCCGAGATAAGAAGGTATTGTCTAGGGTATGGACAATAAGAGTCTGTAATTTGTACATTTTTGCACGGAGGAAGTTTCCCTTCAAGATTAAAAGTACCCATCGAAGAAACATTTTCCGGTGTCACAGTTTGTCGGTGGCAACATTGAAAGAGAAAGGATCTTTTGGAGACCCAGTGACTAAGCTCTGGTGATTGTGTGGTCATTAGGTCTTTGTGAATGCCCTATAAAAGCACCTCCATACTGGTTGAAAAAGGCGCAGGCCATAGAAGTAACCCTGGAACGTAGTCCATGATCGGTAACAGGTTTCCAGTTGAAGAAATGAGGCTTTTCAGTATGGTAGATTCAGAATAGCGAGGTTCTGATCCTCCCTCTACCAATTACTTACTAGCTGTGCTAGCTTTGGATAATTTACTTAACCTTCCTGTAAGGCCCAGTTTCCTCAGTTGTAAAATAGAGATAATAAAAGCATTTACCACTTAGGCTGGCTGGATTCAACGAAGCAATGTAGGTAAGGCTGGTATCGTAGTGTGTGCATGTCAGCGGACGTTGCTATTATAATGCTGATAACACTGTGAGAGGGACATTCATTCATCTTGGGCTGATCTCTTTCACTGGAGATGAAATCGGTCTTGTATTTAGAATGAGTAAACAAGAACCCATCCCTTCCCCCACCGTCACACCTCACCCCACTTGCCTTTAATTTCGTTACTACGCGGCCTTACAGGTTTGGCAATGTTACTTTTCCTCATCTTTATCATAACCGTGGTTTCGCGTTAGGAGTGGATTCCACCCACACATATAAGCACTTTAGGTTGATATTTGAAAGGATGAGGGGCACCGGGGTGGCTCAGTTGGTTGAGCAAAGCCTGCCTTTCAGAAAGCACTTAAAAATTGGGGCCACCGATCCAGACTTTGAAATGGTCATTTGAGAAACTGGCTTCCCTGTATCCACACTAGGACCTCGCTAGACCCTGGGGTAGGCATAAGAGAGGGGAAAGTCTCCTATGGTGATTGATGTTGCAAGGGTGGGGATGACAGTACAGTTGATTTACGTAGTTATGTTGTCCCAAAGGGTCTGCTTCAGCTTCAGTCCTCAAGGCTTGAGACCTGTAAATAAAGTGGAATGAATGATTTACATGTATTCTCTCACTTAGTCCTTGCAGCAGACAACCCTGTGGTTGCAGGGCTTACCCTTCTTAAATTTTTTTTTTTTTTTAATGTTTATTTTTGAGAGACAGAGTGAGACAGAGCTCAAGAGGGGGAGACACAGAATCCCAAGCAGGCTCCAGGCTCTTAGCTGTCAGCACAGAGCCCGATGCGGGACTCGAACCCAGGAACAATGAGATCGCGACCTGAGTAGAGAGCCACCCAGGCGCCCCAGGGCTTACCCTTCTTTTACTGATAATGGAGACTAAGGCTAAAGGGAACTAAAAAAAAAACAAAAGCCTTGCCTGTAATCACACAGCAAACGATGGGAGTGAAATTCCAGCGGGGTCTTTATGGTAGAACGCTTATTGTAAAGATACCTCTACTTTATCCCAACTTTAAAAATACATTAAAAAGAAAACAAAAACTTCTATTTTTTTTTCATATTTCAGGCAAGCAAAAAGAAGGACATCAAAGCTGCCTATAAGCCTGTCATCCACAGATAATTATTCTGTCAAGACTGTAGGACAGACTTATCCTCTTGACCTGTTCCCCCAAAGAAATTAAACTGAAAATCAGAGAAACCTAATCAAACAGTGGGATCAAGGTTCCCTATTCTGTGGGTAGAAGTAAGAATTGATGATCATTCCCAAACATTTATCCATTTCCAACACAGTTATTGAGCCACGTATCCACACAGCAGGCTAACTGGAAGGCCGTGGCAGGTCAACCCTTGAAGAGTCCACCCTTTTTTTTTTTTTTTTTTTTTAATTTTTTTTTTTTTCAACGTTTATTTATTTTTGGGACAGAGAGAGACAGAGCATGAACGGGGGAGGGGCAGAGAGAGAGGGAGACACAGAATCGGAAACAGGCTCCAGGTTCTGAGCCATCAGCCCAGAGCCTGACGCGGGGCTCGAACTCATGGACCGCGAGATCGTGACCTGGCTGAAGTCGGACGCTTAACCGACTGCGCCACCCAGGCGCCCCAAGAGTCCACCCTTTTAAGGCAGTGGTCCTCAGCTCTGGCTCAGATAAAATCTCCTGGGAGGTCGTAAAGACTTGCCTTTGGCTGGGCATCCAAATTTTTTAAAGCTCCACGGGAGATGTGCAACCACGGTTAGGAACCAGCACTCTGCGTTAATTGGGGAGACAACACTGCTTATTGTTCAAAGCAGTATGGAGAGCTCTGAATGTTACAGTACAGATATTATCTGCTCCAGCAAAGTCTTCCAGGATGAGGAAGGCTTTGAACGAGGCCTTGATGAATGGGGAGGATTTTCAGAAAAAGATCATGGGTTGGGTGCCTGGGTGGCTCACTCCATTAAGCGTTAAGCATCCGACCCTTGGTGTTGGCTCAGGTCACAATCTCCCGGTCTATGAGTTTGAGCCCTGCCTCAGGCTCTGCACTGACCTCGTGGAGCCTGCTTGGGATTCTCTCTCTCCACGCCTCCCCTCCTCACACTCATGCATGCGCACGTGCGTTCTCTCTCTCTCTCTCTCTCTCTCTCTCAAAATAAATAAATAAACTTTAAAAAAAGAAAAAAGATGATGGGGCGGAAACGGGGAAGTATATTCCAATTATCAGAATTGCTGTCGAGACTTCTTCGGTCAGTAAGGATTTATCAGAGGTGCTGGTAGGTTGTTTTATGAGAGTAAATTGTTACGAATATCCCCGGTCTGTTGATCTCGCTAATAGGTTTTTAATTTTCTCTTTTTATCAGGTCTTCAATGAAATTTACCCAGTATGGACTTACTCGTACCTGGTGCTGCTTTTTCCTGTGTTCCTTGCCACAGACTACCTCCGGTACAAACCCGTCATCCTGCTGCAGGGACTCAGCCTTATTGTCACGTGGTTCATGCTGCTCTACGCCCAGGGACTGCTGGCCATTCAGTTCTTGGAGTTCTTCTATGGCATCGCCACAGCCACTGAAATCGCCTATTACTCTTACATCTACAGTGTGGTAGACCTGACCATGTACCAGAAGGTCACGAGTTACTGTCGGAGTGCCACCTTGGTGGGCTTTACGGTGGGCTCCGTCCTCGGGCAGATCCTCGTCTCCGTGGCAGGCTGGTCCCTGTTCAGCCTGAATGTCATCTCTCTTACCTGTGTCTCGGTGGCTTTTGCCGTGGCCTGGTTTCTGCCCATGCCACAGAAGAGCCTGTTCTTTCACCACGTTCCTTCCACTTGCCAGAGAACGAATGGCATCAAGGCACAGAATGGCGGCTTTGTAACCAACACCACGGCTGCAAACCACCTTCCAGGGTGGGAGGACCCGGAGTCAAAAATGCCGCTAAATACGGAGGAGCCGGTAGGTGTGGCCTTAGACGCCTTGCGGCGGCTGCTCTGGCTGTTAGAGCAACGATGACAAAACAGACAGGAAAACCCCTCTTGCTAGCCCTTGTATTCATCTTGACTCAGTTTTTTATCCTGGGTTGGTTCACTGGTTCATTCATTTATTGATTAAAGACCGGGCTGATTTATATTAGGGATGGCCAATACATTCTGTCCTGAGGTGAATAACCTCCAAAGTCAGACCAGCACCACATCATACTGCTTGTGTCAGAGAGGTCTTAAGAAGCCATAGCAGGTGCAC